CCAGTTAAACATCAGAGGGTCAACAACATAAACGAGCGTGCTTTTTTAGACAAAGCCACGACCTCCCATATGTCTTCGCGACCACAACAAAGTCCAACAGAAGATTAAAAATTCTGATTGATACAGGCGCAACAAGTTGTTATTGTTCGCCAAACATATTTAAAGTTAGAGAAAGATTAGTTATAAAAAAAAGAATTAGGACCATTAATGGCCACACAATAATAACCCATTTTTCTGAATTTATTATATTTAATATAAAAGAAAGATTTTATGAAATAAATGGACTTGATGCAGACTTATTAATAGGTTATAACTTTCTAAAAAAGGCCAATATTACATTAAATTTCGAGAAAGAAATTTTAATATATAAAAATGAGGGATATAAAATAAATCCCTACGAAGAAAATATTAATAACGAGTATATTACCTTGGGAAATAATCCTAAGGCGCCAGCCGAAGAATTTTCCGGCACTATTGAAAAAAATAATAATATTAAAAATAAACATATTACCTTGGGAAACAATCCTAAGGCGCCAGCCGAAGAATTTTCCGGCACTATTGAAAAAAATAATAATATTAAAAATAAACATATTACCTTGGGAAAAAATCCTAAGGCGCCAGCCGAAGAATTTACCGGCAATATTTCTGATAAGAAATATAAATCAATAAATACCCGAAGCGGAGAAATAATAAATCAAATAAAAAGAATACACAATAATATAAATTTAAACATTCCTTTTAGAACGGATGTAAAAGCGGAAATCCGCACAATTGTTGAAACTCCTATATGGAGTAAACAATATCCATATCCACTATCTGTGAATGACTTTATAAATGTTGAAATTAAAAAAATGCTAAAAGACGGTATAATTCGTCAAAGTAAGAGTCCATACAACTCACCTGTTTGGGTTGTACCAAAAAAAGGTATAGAAAGAAATGGAACACCAAAACTAAGAATGGTGATTGACTTCAAGAAATTAAATGAACAAACAATTTCAGATAGGTATCCAATACCTGATACTAATGTTATTCTTTCCAATTTAGGAAAAGCATCATATTTTTCTACAATAGACTTGGAATCGGGATTCCATCAAATTTTAATGAAGGAAGAAGACATTGAGAAAACAGCTTTCTCAATAAATAATGGTAAATACGAATATTTAAGACTACCATTTGGGTTAAAAAATGCTCCTAGCATTTTTCAAAGAGCAATGGATGATATATTACGAGAATATATCGGAAAAATTTGTCATGTCTATATAGACGACATTATAGTATATTCAAGTTCCTTAGAGGATCATGAGATTCATTTACAAAAAATAATAAAAACCCTAAAAGATGCCAATATGAAAATTTCACTTGAAAAATCTAAATTTTATCAACAAGAAGTTGAATTCTTAGGATATATAGTCTCCTATAATATAATTAAAACCGATCCAAAGAAGATCGACACAATAAGTAATTTTCCTATCCCTCAGACATTACGTCAATTAAGAAGTTTTTTAGGAATGACAGGTTATTATAGAAAATTTGTAAAAGACTACGCGTCAATAACTAAACCACTTACTAAATACTTATCTGGTGAAAATGGAAAAGTTTCACAACACATGTCAAAAAAAATAAAAATCAATTTAAATGAAGATGCAATTAATGCAGCAGTGAAATTGAAAAATTTATTATCGAACGAAGTAGAACTGGCACAACCAGATTTCAATAAAAAATTTATTCTCACTACCGATGCTTCTAATATAGCAATCGGCGCAGTATTAAGCCAAGAAGGCAAACCAATCACATTTATTTCTAAAACGTTAAATTCTACAGAGCAAAATTATGCTACCAATGAAAAAGAGCTTTACGCTATAGTATGGTCTTTAAAGACATTAAGAAATTATCTTTACGGAGTTTCCGATTTGGAAATACATACCGATCATCAACCCTTAACTTTTGCGGTATCTACCCGCAACCCCAATGCTAAAATGAAAAGATGGCACTCATTTATTGAGGAATTTGCCCCAAAAATAATTTATAAACCAGGAGCTACCAATGTAGTAGCTGATGCCCTTTCAAGGCAATACTTAAATCACATTTCGGAAGAATCTTCCTCTATAAATACTCAGCACTCAGCTGAAAGTAGTGATAACAACATCATTCAAGAAACAATGAAACCCCTTAATCAATTTAAGCAACAAATTCTATTGAGCAAAGCCTCATTTACTATCCATGAATCAAAAACGACATTTGGAAAAATTAGACATATTATTGAGTATGATACTCCTGAAAATTTGCTTACTATATTAAAAGATTATTTACAACAAAAAATAACAACAGCAATTCATTGTACCATAGAGGATCTTTATGAAATTAAAAATATTTTACTAAACAATTTCAATATTAAATTCGTATATACAAAACTATTTCCAATTGATATAGTCAATCTTGATGATCAGGCAGCCATAGTAGAACAAACTCATATTCGCGCACACCGCAATTATAAGGAAAATGTGAAACAAATTCAAGGCAATTATTATTGGCCTAAAATGAAGGATCATTTCAAACAATTTGTTAGAAATTGTGAAATTTGTAATAAAAACAAATACGACAGGCATCCGCAAAAAGCACAAATTGGCGAGGCTCCAATTCCTAAGAAAGAGGGGGAGCAGATTCATATAGACATTTTCTTCGCCCAAAAATTAAAGTTTCTCACATGCGTTGACGCATACTCAAAATATTTAGTAGTTAAATTAATTGACGACAAAAGTAAACTTGATGAAAAAGTATTAGATATTTTGCAAAACTTTCCTGATATTAAGAAAATAACTTTAGATAATGAGCCAGGTTTTACAACAGCTCAATTTAAATCTTTAATGCAAAGATTAAACATTCAGGTATATTATTGCGACCCAAGGCATAGCACTACTAATGGTCAGATTGAAAGGGTTCATTCTACAATAATAGAAATTACAAGATGCATTAAGCAAGAATATAATTTAATAAGTGACGTTGAATCTATCTTCAGAGCTGTTCAACAGTACAACAAAACAATACATTCTGTCACAAATAAAAAACCAATTGATATATTTTTCAATAAAATAAATCATGATAATAATGAAATAAATTTAAAAATTGCTCAAAGTAAAATGATTAAAAGGAACGAAATTAATAAACCCCTAAAAACATATAAACAAAATGATATAATATATGAGAAAATAATTGGTGAAAGAAATAAGCTTCAACCAAAATTTAGAAAACAAAAAGTTAAAGAGGACTTAGGAAACAGGATAAGAATTTTTAAGAATAATAGAATAATTCATAAAGATAATATTAAAACGTAACATACTTTTCAGACAATGGAAATTTTTATCTTAATAACATTATTAACCAAATTGGTTACAACGGATATCATAGACTACACGCGTGAAGACTATGTATTAATCGAAAACGATAAAGCAGCAATCTATGATGACTTTGGTGAAATTTACCATATAACTAACTTAACGTATTATGATCAAATATTACAACAATTTCAAAACGCATTAGATACGGAAATGAACTTCGTTAACAGTGATAATAAAATTAACTATGTCGACATTGACACGGATATTCATATAATTAGAATACTTTTTACACAATTACAAAAAATAAAAGTTCACAGAAATAAACGTGGTATTAATGAAATAGGAACCTTATGGAAGTGGATAGCAGGTTCACCTGACCACGACGACTTTGTTAAAATAACAAACAAAATAGAAGAACTAGTACAGAACAATAATCAACAATTTGTTACAAACTCGAAAATTTTTCAAGCAATTACCGAACTGAATACAATTATAAAGAACTTGAATAGTAACACTCAGTTTTTCAGAATGACAAAACAACAAAATAAATTAATAATGAACGAACTACAAAATACGTTACAAACTATAACTTTAGCAAAAATGGGTATTCTCAACACAGCAATTCTGAACTTAAAAGAAATTCAGGATATTACGAAACATGAACATGACACTGTTACTATAACCGACTTAATGGATACCTCACAATTTAAAATTTTACAAAACAATGATCTAATTGTAGTATATATCAAATATCCGATTATTAAACAAAATTGTAAGAAATATGAAGCCAGAGCCATAAGTAAAGAAGATGGCAAATTATTAATAGATAAAGAAATTGCAAAATGCAATGATAAATATTTAAATATAAAAAATTGTAAAATAGAAATAAGTAACACATTTTGTCAATCTATTAATGAAAAATCCTGTTTCACGAATTTATTAAATAATGAAAAATCTAAATGTAAAAAAATAAGAGAAAGAAATAAAGAATTGGAAATTATTAAAGACGGAGCTATATTGATCTCCGGAAAGAATGTTGTAAATAATAAAAACCTAAACGGTACATATTTAATAACCTTTGTTAATCATACTATCATTAATAATCAAACTTATATTAATCAAGAATCCATAATATGGAATTATGTAAAAAATATTAAACCAGCAAATTATGAAATATCGGAATATATAGAATCCGAAAATAAAGATTTGAAATTTGAAAATATTAAATTGCTAGATTTGTATAAAAATAAAATAGAAAGACATCCAACAATGTCAATTATTATTGGATTAGTCATAAGCACATTAATTATATTCATATTATTCAAAATTATTACGAAAATTAAAAAGTGTAAAAGAAAAATTAATAATGATAAGAATGAAGAACTATTCATAGAACTGAACTCTAGAATACAGACATTGACTGAAGCGGGACGCTTCAATCAAGAAAGAGGGGAGTTAAAACCCTAAATTAATATAACGGCACTGAGCCACTGTTTGATACTTTTGTATCTTCAGAATGCGTACTTAGATATTACGCATTAAAATATGTTTATATAAACAATCT